TCTCTTAAAAAGAAAACAAGAACACTCTCTCTGTTTTAGGATTCTGATTCTTTCATCAAGAATCAAACAAGTCTTGATATCATCATAAGGCGAATTGAGGATTATACAGTATTGGGATTGGACAACATTTATTATTTCTTGGTTTTGGGATATTCAACTATCATAATAGAATCAAGTAAGTTTTCATTTCTTTTCTTGTAATTCTTAATAATTATGACATGATTTTGACTTAGTTTATTTAATTACTCTATCAAAATCCTTATGTGTTAATTTCTTCCGCATATAAGATTAATTGATTTTAACATGATCCACTACAACCATCACTCTTTTCCTTAACACCATGCCATTGTGATCAACCCCATTGCCATTCATGTTGAGCTCTTCTTCCATTTGAGCTAAGTTTGCCTCAAAACTATTACCGGAGTCACCCCCTACCCATCTCCAGGATGTGGATTTGCAACCTTGTTTCCTACTCAGCTGCCATGCATTTTTCTTCAAAGACTTCACTTTACCTTATTCAATAGGCAGCCAAAACTGATTACAAATTAAGGGTCACTTAACACAAAGGGTGAGAAACAGCCAGCAGGGTCCAAAAATGAATTGAGAACTACATAAAGAAATCTGGGAAATGAAAGATGAGGGCAGAGAGATGTATTTATGGAAGAATGAATGAGTGTGGGGCTTACAGTGATGATGCGCAAAAAAACCCAAAATAATTCACATTTGTTGCTGGTTAAAGTCAGGCTTGGGGGAATCACTGGACTATCTGCCTATTTCTATCGTTTTATAAACACCGAGAAGTATCACGAATTTAAATTACGATTATATTACGTGCATTACGTGTGCAGTTGTAGATATAGCAAGTGTTATTATAATGATCGTGAATATCATAATCAAATAATAGTGGTTTTGGACACAGTACTACCGATATATATATATTATAATAGCGTACCACCATGTAAAAACAATTGCAAGGGGTCGGCTTATTGATGATGAGAGTTCGACAGGGCAGGAGAGGGCACATGAGGACCTTTTTAATATTTTCTTTGTGCTGCGGACTTCCATACATAATTTCCATTTTCCAAAGTTTCTTTGCATTGTTCTCCATGATAATTCTACGCTTGATCCTACATAATCTTCAGTTAACATGGTAACAAATCATTTACAGACATGGGGGCCAGGCAATTCATAGATTGAAAGAGACTACTTTTAGCATTTGTACTTCAACTGCTGCATTGCTTCTTCTGCTTAAAGTACATCATAAATCAAATTTGCACAAAAAGGAAAGAGAACACCAATAGTAAAGTATATCAATAAGTATGGAGGTTGTAGGTAGCCTTGTCACTAGGAGGAAAAAACCAGATGTATTTTAAAAAAAATTACAGTAAATTTTACTATTAACATAAATACCTTCAACTGCATGCTACGTATAGCAAATGTAATAATGTAGAGGAAAATGTTAAAAAAGTTTGCTTGCCTTAATTGACCATTTTGAGAAAGGCGACTAAGTTTGCAAATTTTGGTCACTAGTTAATAAAATTATTCATCCTTTACGTGGAAAAAGAGAGACTTTCTACCCAGAAAATTGGCTAATTAATTGGTGAATGGCAGTGGTTGTACTTGTAACTTAGCACGCATAGGTTCAAAAAGAAGAAAGATTAGGGCTTTGTTAACACATCTACAATTTGAGCAACATGTATATGAATTCACTGTAGTCCATTATTCACTACATTTTCACGTATAAAGTGAAGATTAAAACATGAAGGATTAGATCGATAGCTATTGCAATTGTACTCATATACTGTCAAGCCATATTCTTAACATTTCGTTTAATTAAATATTAAATTCATCAAATATAAATTTAATTTATGTATTTTTTTAAGACTGTATTTGTTAAACTTCAATACTATGTCTCTATCGTAGATAGAGAGACTATTCATTATTTACAAAAGTTCTAAGAAATCAAATTCGAACTAAAATATGCAGTAGTATGAGAAAAATCGAGGATCATCCATATTACTCGCTCAATCAGTATTGAAAAATATAACGAGTGCTATTAAATGAAAAATAGTCCAAAATTTAATGTCTCTTTCAAATATCTAAAGATTCGTTTGACTAAAAAAAATTATTTTGCATTGTCAAATCTAAAAAATATTTATTTTAGGGTGTCAAATTTAAATTTTATATGATTTTTTTAAAGTATGAAAATAAATAATGGGTATAAATTTATGTCTAGAGGTATCAATATTCTATTAAATTTATATTAATTTATTTTATAAAAAATATTTTTATATTAAAATTTATAAAAAGATATTTTTTCAAGAAAAATTTGGAATGCCATATAACACCCATTGTTACATGTTGAAAAGTACAGTCTAAAATTTAACTGTATGATACTATTGTTAAAATGTGAGTTTGAAAATAAATTAAAAATATAGAATTTAAACCATATTTATACTTATTAATACTATGATATATAAAATATATTAACTTAAACTATAACAAAAATATAAAAAATATTTTAAGATAACTCATTAACAATATATTTATAAATAAAATATTTTATTAAAAATATATTATCAATACTTTTTAACACGTGAATATAAAATTATTGCGAAATAATAATTTAAATATTTATTTTGATAAAAAGAATATTATAAAAGAAATAGATTAGTGCTCACAAATAAAGTGAATTTTAATATATAAAAAATGAATTTTATTTATTTTTAAGTAATTAAAATAAATTATTAAGTAATAAATTATTTTTTAAGGATATTACTATTAAGTTATTAAAATAAAATGCAAATAAATAATTGAGCGAACCCGTATATTAATAAGGGTAAAATTATAATTGCTTCCAAACGCAAAGTTGAAAATAAAAAAGATACAAATCCTAACTTTTGCGGTTAGTTTGAAATTATCATTCCACCATAAATTTTATTTATTTTTCTGTTTGAAATTGATTTTACGATTAAAATAATTTTTTAACTAAAAGTACGTTTATAAAATCACACCAAACAAACATACCTAAATAACTGGATTACGAGAAAAAATCAGACCTCAAAAAACGAGCCAAATGTCTAAATGGAATTTTAGAAATATTAATTTGAAATTTTAGATTAAATTGAGAAGATTCAATGTTTAAGGATTAAATCAAAGAGTTAGAAAATTTTTGGAGGTGAAATTCAATCTATTGCAAATTATGATCCTTTTCTGTAAATCCTAAGTAGTTTAGGGACAAGTCTTCAATTTACTCATTTTTTTAAAATATGTTTTTCTTCATCAGGCGCTTTCCCGAAACCCTAGCTCCTCTCCCCCCCCCCCCACGGGGGGCTTGCGCCGCACACCTCTCGTCCCTAGGCTTCTCGCCGTTTGTCTTCCCTAGCCGTAGCACAACGCTTGCTGTCGTGCACCCTGTAGTGCGCTTCCGCCTTTACCTTCGCCTTCCAATACCTCCGACCACCTTACTGCCATCACCACAACACTGTCGTCCTCCTCTCCCAGCATTCATTAATTCTTGAACCTCAACCGGCCAACCCCGGACCTCTCTCGAATTGGTTAGGTAATTTTATTGTCGACCCTAATGACTAATCCGATAATGCATAAGACCTTGAGCAAAAATGTCAATCATTGACCATGTATAGGCATTTGGTGGCTATGAACTTTTATTACGGGATTGAGGCCGAGATAGTTCAGACCTTGCCGGTTCTCTTTCCATTTTTGACTATAAGACACAACAACGTACTCCTTTTCTTCATTACTTTCCATTTTCCTGGAATGGGATAATCACAGGGTTTATTCAGATTGGGGAATTCGGGAGGGCTGAGAAATTGTTTGGTGAGATGCCATGTAAGAATGTGGTTTCTTGGACCACGATGATCACACGATATGTTCAAGGCGAGCAAAGTGAGGAAGCACTTAAGATTTTCTCGAAAATGTTGGCAGACAGGGTAAAGCCCAGTGAAGCAACTTTTGTCAGTGTTTTGAGTGCATGTAGTAACTTAGCTGGGCTTGTCGAGGGACAACAGGTTCATCAGACAACAGTGAAAACAGTTTATCGGCATAGTGAAATTGTTGTATATGCCCTTATTAACATGTATTCCAAATGTGGGGAATTAAGTATCGCTAGGAGAATGTTTGATGGTGGATTAATAAGCCAAAGGGAAGTGGTCTCATGGAATGATATGATCGCAGCTTATGCACATCATGGGTGTGGTCGGTAAGCCGTCAGTTTGATCAAAAGAATGTCCGATTTACATTTTAAACCAATGATGCGACCTATGTGGCTTTGCTCGCTGCATGCAGCCATTCTGGTATGCTGGAGGAAGGACTAAGGTACTTCGACGAACTTGTCAAAGACAAGTCCATTCAGGTCAGAGAGGAACACTATGCATGCTTGGTCGACCTCTTTAGCCGAGCAGGGAAACTCAAGGAAGCCTTTGAATTCATCGTGCAGCTTGGGATCAAACCATCTGTGTCTATTCGGGAAGCTCTTCTTGCAGGATGTCATGTTCACGGGGATGCAAAGAAGATTATAGAGGCAGAACCAGAAAATGCCGGCACTTTCTTGTTGTTGTCTAACATATATGCTTGGGGAGGGAAATGGAGGGACGCTGCAAAGGTAAGGTTGAAAATGAAGGATAAGGGACTAAAGAAGCAACCTGTTTGCAGCTGGATAGAAGTAGAGCATAAGGTGCTTGTGTTTGTGGTTGGTGCCAAATCTCATTCTCATGCAGAATTTATTAATATTAGTATGTATAATTTTTTAAAAATATATAAAGAATTATACTTTGCACGCAAATCGACTACGTATCGAATACAAGTATCAAATTCCGATGAACGATTAAAAGAAAGTTGAATCAACAGAGTAAACTATACAACTCAAACAGTTGAAATGGGAATGTAAAGTGTCCACTGATGTAGATGTAAATTAAGAATATCAGAATTGTGCATCGGGTAACAAGTTGTATCGAATCATTTAGTTAGGAGAACCAACTGGATTGGTAAAGGGAATAAAATAATATAGAATTGCTTTAAAGCACACAAATAAAATATGCATGTCACACTCTAAAGACTGTTGATTGTTGGATTGAGCTAACGCTTACCATAATCACAACTTCTTATGACAATGCTTTACAATGAGGAGAATGGATGGAATCACACCCTGAATTTCTAATCTACATTCATGTGTTCGTAAGACTTAAACGATAGCTGTTCCAGACATTTGTTTTCCAGTAAATATTACTAATATCTAATACTTACCAACTGCTGATTGCCGAATGATATTGTGTTTCGTTGGCAGCTCAGTTCTCTAATTTTTCAGCTCCATTAAAATTATCCATGGCAGCTGCTTCAAGCCAAGGCCACTAACTTCGGAGATTACCATGTCCATCCTGTTAGTTATCCTCGGTAATCGGTATGATTTTTCTAACTAGCAACCACAGTTGGATGATAACTTTCCATTGAAGTTATATTGGCCCAACAATGAAATATCCACAGGGGATAATGTCAGTGCACCAGTACTCAAGTAATGGTGAGCACCTCGTTTCCTGCATAAAATCAATTTGCAACATAACAAAACTAATGAAAGATTACTAATATTAACAGGAAAGTGATTCGAAACAAATGTTTGGATACCTCCGTCTTCCCGTCAATCCCTTGCCTACTGATAAGCGGGAAGCTTCTGATCTCGAAATGCATCCCAATGAGGAAATATATTCATGACATGCAGCACCCTTCAGGGCCAAGTATAATCTTGAAGGGACTATCGACCTAAGGATGTCCAAAAGGCATGGCTTCACTTCCCTGCATCGCAAAGCCAAAACTATTTTATGAAACTGAAAATACAGAGCCGATAATATAGTTTCGAATTGAATAAATCAAGCTGCAAGGAAACATGCTTTTAACGAGAGAAGTGGCAATCAAAATCAGTTTCAAACAGAGCACTAAAGTTAAATGTCAAAATAATAGTCTTCTGTGGTTTGGCAAGGTCAAAATGCTCATCTCATGCAGGAAATACATCCAAGTGACGGTTTAGGGGAGATAACTCTATACCTTTTCACTGCAAGTTGATGCTTTGAAGGGCTCGTTTCCAAACGCTTTCCGTCAACTGAAGTGCTACTTGCTCCAGCATCACGTTCAAGCAATCTACCAAATGCCATTGCACTAGAAGAGGAAGACAGCATCTCCTGGCTCAAATCCACCCTATTCTCGAAACCTATTTTTGATCCTATGGCATCAATATCTTTAGCATACAAGCAAAATCCATGTTGGGAAACAGTGTCAACCATCTGCAGCTGCTCATCACACCAGCTGAATGCATTTGAGTCCTTGGAAGGGATCTTTGACAGCTCCAAAGAATCCTGGATAGGTAGATATTGGTATCACAATAACAGTCATAAACTCAATAAAACTCTATAAGAAATGTTCTCGGGGAAAAAAATACTATTTGTCACTTACTTGTATCTGACACTTGGAAAGCAGTAAGTCGGCTTGTGAAATAAGATCACTCATGCTAGAAGTAAATTTCAAAATTTCAGTAGTATCTTTTGGCTCTAAGTCAACATACTTTTTTATATCAGCATGACTGTCATGAAGTTTTCTCCATGATTCGTGCACTAAATCAGTGGTCGCACCGTTCTTCAATTTAACCATGGAAAAGGATTTTTTGGTGAAATTCATGCGGCTGCATTCGTCCATCACTGCATGCCCACTTGGTGCAGCCTCATCATACTCAGTTTGAGAATTCTCTACCTCTTTATGAGAAGCTTCTGCAGTAATACTGCATGTGCCGTCTAACATATCTGAAGTATTAACTAATTTATGTATAAATTCACAAGAGTTATTTACTTCAACTGCCATCAGGTCCTCAGATAACTCACAACTCACTGAAACTTCTGTTGTTTCAGCAACATTAGTGTAAGACACAGTTCTAGAAGCCAGTTCCATTCCATTACTAATTTCAGTCTCAGGGACAAAGGATGACTCGGGAACATATGATACATCCATATATTTGCAGGTTTCCATTTCTAAATCATTTAATGTTTCCGAGCAATGGAAGCCACCCTCCTCACGTTTCTCTGCTTGAGAACAAAGTTCCCGATCTCTTGGCGGACTTAAGCTATTCTGGACGTTTGGACAATGTGAGAGGAGTCTGCAGTCTTCTTTTATTGCTCATCTTCAGAATCCGAAGACACGACAACATTAGATTTATTCTTAGGTGCTCTTCGACAGAAAGAAACTGGGGTGCCTGAAGAATTGTAAAAGTCACTTGCAACATCAGGAGGGCTTATGAATACATCGCAATCATAAGTAGAGAGATTCCTGCTTAACATTACTTCCTTCTTTGCCTCTATGCTGTCCATCTCTTTATTATGCTTCTCCAAGCCATTATATATGTTGCTTTCAAGTTCTTCCTCCATCACCTCCATTGAAGTTGAATTGTTTTCGATTATGGATAATGTCTTAGCAATTTCCTTCTCAATTAACTCTGATAACTGAGATGGTAAATCCCAAGGGATCATAGTTGGTAGTACTGAATGGCCCGCCTCGATATCAAACAGCTGCAAGCCATAAGTCTTCTGCAATTTACTATCTGGATAACCCAATGAGTGTCAGAATAAAGTACGAGTACATAATAAAAACGAATTATTATTTACAAGAAAGACAAAATTGACAAGAAGCTCAAGAACATATATTGAAAATGGAAATCACACCCTTGAAAAAGACCCTTTATGACTTTCTCAAGAACAAGTATTACAATTTGGACCACATTAAAAGAAAATCCTATTGGTTCCTCGGTACCCTAAAAGTCGCATAATAACTTCAACAAACCATAGAAATAATAAAATACCTTTACAAAATCTATAATATGGAAAAACCTTATATGTAATTTAGCTTTCTTTTCCATTCGATTTCTTATACAAAGATAAACAGCTGAAACAACAATGCAAACTTATACATGGATGCAATCATTAATGAAAAAGTAAAAATGCAAATATAATTGAGAGCAACATGGTAAAGTTCAATTAAAACAAGATGCATGTTGCCCACTGTCTTTCTGGAAAGCATTCACAATATGCAATGCATGATTTTCTAACAAAACATGGTATGGGTGTACAATATTTCAAATCAACGGCTGAGGAGGCCACACCCCTTTTCCCTACAGCAAAACAAACTTTACATCTCTCTATCACTAGAAATCTGTCTGACAATGCCCAAGAACAGACATCAATAGTAAGCCAAACCACAACCTTCATTCATAGTAACACTAAACCATAAGTCCATAATCACAAAGGCGGACCAGAAGTTCACTTATTTTAGAAATATTGACATTAATACTTGCATTAAATCTTGTGTATACATCACTATACGCCACAAAAACTGTTAAAAAGAGGGTTTCTATTCCCACATGTATCAGGGACCTATTGAGATTAATGAAATCAAAGAGCATGTGTTTATAGGTGGTCAATATTTGCTTCAAATGATCCCAGATCGTGCACAAGAACATACATGCAAAGCAATTTTATTATCTTACTTGCATATTGAATTGTCAAAATTTGCAAAGATATTTTGACAGATTAAACCATCTTGACAAAAATATTGAAAATTAAAGCCTTCTAAAAGTATTGTATCCAACCTGACTATAGGGAAACCAAGTCTACAAAATTCCATTGCAGCAGCATCTAAATTTCAGAAACAAAAATAGACGTACTATGAAAAGCATTGTATGCCTTCGTAGTGTTATTAACCTTTTTCATGTTTTTTTCCTTGACACCAAAACTGGAGGTGCATAATAGTTTTCCGGATATCATTCTGACAACATTTAATTAATTGCTTCAGTAAATGTGGTTGAATGGAGGCTCTCTCTGCTTCACAAACCTGTGGCACAAAGATAACATGAAAAAGATACAAAAATTGTAACATGAAAGAGTTTGAAGGAAGTGAAAGCTTATACCATATAAAGATGGTGAAGCAGCTCTTCTGGTGATGGCATTGTGAAACATAACTCTAGCCTGCCCATGTTGTCTGGCAGAATAAGCTTTGTACCTGAGAATTACCATCACAACATGGAGTTATGAAGAAATATATCAAGTCATACAAGGTCAAGAAAAAATAAAACTGTTTCAACCCTAAATCTATCTTACTATTACTAGTCAGTATCACAGGGCCCTTTGCTTTTTCAGCAATTTGCTGTATGGCAGAAATAAAACCACGATCTTCAGGGAAATTGATATCAACATCCTCAAAGAGAATCAACTTTGCTTGACCGAAGCCAGTCTCACTACCGTTAAAGACACATTTTTCAGGAGCTCCATGGCCATCGGATGTATCTTCCGTATCTGGTACTGGTATCAACTCTATCACCTCATTGTCAACTTCTTGCACCGCATCACCATTGGATAAAATTTCCGCAGATTTCATAACATGCTTGCTAAGAGAATCTACTTGGTTTTCTACAGACCTGCAACAAATATATATTACGATTTAGGACAAGTAATTATATTAGTAAAGCCTGGGCTCAGCTCAACACTTCATTGGAAAATAGAATAATCACGAAAATAAAAGCATAATACAGGATAAAAGTGTAAGAGTGTGAAAACAAAGTCACTAACCCTGTAAGGCAGCATGATTCTAACGCCTCACCAAATTTCTGCTTCACGACAACTCCATTTCGACAGTCTGATGCATTGGACTAACAAAACAATAGATAAAAAGTATTCAGCTTTCACTTAATGAATTATTCTCCTATCATTAAATTACAAAAAACTAAAAAGGTATCCAGATAATATAAGCATATAACTCAATTGACTAAGTGAAAAGATACCTTGTGATCACAGACGGAGTAAAGTAAGCAATATGGAATTGCAGGAACATTACTTGGTTCTTATTTCTATTTTTAGGAGTACATAATGATCTTTTAACAAATAGGAAACTATGCTAAAGAATATAAGGATTCTGAAATATGAATCGATCTTTTAACAAGAAAAACAATACAAAAGAAACCAGAAGAAAACCTCACATTTTTCCAACGAAATAATCAATATTGAGTTCTATGCAATTATGTTTCAAAGTGACATAAATATGTCTTAAAAAAGTCAGTGTCAATGGCACTGTAGATATCGCAGCACAAATTTGAAGGGACAGGACAACTGATTTATAGTCATGCAACATCATCATTTCCAGTCAGAATCTTCCAGAACAATTTATGTATGAATTCAAAGTCAAACTCATCATTCAGAAATAAAGTAGTAATGAATCTATGTCTTTAAGTGGAAAGAGCAAGATACGTACAAAACGTAACAACTATGATCTAGACTTGCAAACTATGAAATCAACATAGTTACTTAGCTTCATAATAAAACAAGTGTCTGTTTGAATCACAGACATATTCTAATATTATGCCAAAGAAACCTAGTGATTATATGTATCTTCCAGCCAGGATAAGTACCATTTGGATATGGCCACAACTTGAGAAATCAACAAAGAAATAGCAAACAGTTTAACAAGATCTAAAAATTTTGTAGCACCTCTAGAACCTTAAATCCTTGTTCCTTTGCACAAGCTTGGATAGCTGCGGACTTCCCACTCTGCAGTACAAGAAAAATACCTTTTAACTACCAATGGAAATCAAAAGCATATGCACCTTGAAACAAACTGCAAGCTTTCCGAAACAGAAACCCTTGAAGAAGAATAGGAATGGAGTTCAAATTGAATCTAAGCAAGAGAGATCTCTTAAACCTCATACAATCCAAAACAGAAATCCTCGCAGGAGTAACTACATTTATTGTTCTGAGAACTGAGGACCGAAGCCAATTTACTGGTTCCCCTTTCAAGAATATAAAATATAAAATCTAAAATCAACCCTAGATGTAAGAAAGAACGGCATCACTAAACCTTGTAATCAATAAAAAAACCATTAGGACTAGCACTGCATAAACAAAGAATCCAATCAATACCAAAGGAAACAAAAACTGCAACAAGTAGTGATACAAGATAATGAGAATAAATTCATTAAAAGCCAATCATGAAAGTTTATTATGAGAGTTTGACAAAAACAGAACAGCATAAAGATTAACTCTAAAACAAGCAAACATAAGCTAAACTTTAGCCTAAAGATGTGTTTACCCCAATTGGTCCTGTAACCAAAAGAACATTCTTCAGAATATTCTCTCCATCTATGTTTTCTGAATCAAAATCGCTTCCGCAATAATCATCATCTTCTAGCAGGTTGCCTTTATCAATGTTATTGGAGGCTTTAATGGCTTGAAAACGTCTCTCATGCCAAAGCCTCAACCATTCACTCATAAACTTAACTGATTCAGTATTACCACACACCTGAAAAGCAGGCATTGAAGGAGAAAAAACGGAAATATGAATTATCTTAGTCCCTCCCCTTCCTTTCAGATCCTAGCAGTTCAGAACAGACGAAATAAATTTCACCTCTGAGGCACTTTTTGGCTGGTACTTATCAGTCCATAAGCTACTATCAGGCTGGATACTGCAACCATGATAGCATGGAACAAATCTGCAAATGGTAATACAGTGAAAAGGATTTTGTTTAGAATAACACACCAAACTTACATAGAGACAAAATCTATCAGTAACTTGTCTTTCGGGATACACATGATTTTTATTGGTATCGTTAACAGTTGAACAAGTTATTATCATTGACCTTATACAATAAAATCAAGGCATTATCTAGGGGGTAACACCTGGGCTAGTTCCATTTAGCAAGCACTTATTAAAGTGGAAGTCCTATTTTTATCAAACTGTCCCAATCCTGCATACTTTGTAATGAATAGTTTCAGGCACAACCACTACAAACAATATATTGCACAGCTAACAGGTAAACAATACTTCTACCGGACACAAAAATATATGTAATAGAAAACACTATTTAAAAAAATTCAAATTAACATGTCAGAAAAGAAGTTCCAAAATAATAAAATAAAATAAAAGGGAGAAAAGTTTTTATATGAAAATTTCCAACCTTTCTTGAAGAAGTCTACTTTCCTGTTCAAGATCAGAGTTTTCCACATTATAAGCCTTCTTAGAAAGGACAGCAACTCCATCTACTTGACAATCCGGGCACTAACAAATTAATAGTGACAAACAAATCAAAGAGCATCGAAAAGCTACACAAACAGCAGATGAGCCTTGGCTCACATGCAATGAGAACACCTTTAAAGGCAGGGTAAAGGAGGTCTAACTAAAATGGGTTTAGGATTGTGGAGGCTGGTTGTTAAGGATTGCTATTGTTTTTTTTTTTTTGATAGGATTGCTATTGTTAGGGTTGAATTATTACAAAATGAGAAAAATATTAATGGTAGAAGAAAGTTCCTTGAAAATAAAGAAAGGTAATAAAGATAGATCACATACCCCTTCTGATCTCTTTAGAAGCTGATTGTTTTCTAAATGCCCATCTACTTGAGCAGCATGTATTTCCACATATGTTCCAAAAAAGTCATTATTTTGAATAACATATTGATCTTTCAACTTGTTTTGAACAAATGATGGATCAAAGGACTGTGAAACAACAGAAAAGTTGTCAAGAGATAATGCCCCAACACAACTTTCAAAAACTGATGTGAATAGATCTTCACAGTTGCGACTGGTGTCAATGGAGATTTTCTCAAGAAACGTCCAATTGTTCCAATCAAGAACTACATCATCCTATATGGAAAAGTTTAAATGTCATTCCAGATAAGCTGAATATTTACGAAGTTCAAATTCAAAACCAGAAAATAAATACAATTAGACATGGTTCACTTAATAATGCAAATACCTGATTTCTTTCATATACATGAATAGGACCAATATCAGTGCCTTTGTTGCTTCTGTTAAACAAGCAATTATTGCTCCCTGCTTCAGCAGTCTCCTGGCTCCTCTTCCCCACTTTTCGCGATGTGAAAAATGGATGAAATTGCTTCCCTGCAAACATCCGGGTATTTTCCTGATCAAGCATGAAACACGTGCACTTTCAGACAACATATCAAATATTATATTACATTGTCCGTTAAACTAACATATCTTGACTTAGAATTTAGAAACTGCTTGCTAGTAGTATGAGCTGATGCATAAAGATACTATATTGCAGAACTCATCATGAGGAAAAAGGACTAGGGGGAGGGAAACTGGGGCAGATGAATTTCTGCAAAAAGAAAAAGGAACAATAGTAGTTTCTTGTGTTGCAAGGAGAACCCAAGACGCTCCACATTAAAAGGATCCATGAAACTTGGACAGAAACAAGCTTCTCACTAGGCTTTTAGAGTGAAGGTTCCTTCAAAAGTAGGAACATCCTGCTCAATGACAGCTCGAGGAAGTCCAACATAACCTATGGTACATCATCAATGGCATCCAGCGAACAGCACACAACCTACATTACCTATTAGGCCCTTGCACCTTTCTTTCAGAAAATTAGAATCACCATGTTCACAGTCTCAAGATCATATTCAATCTCCTTAATTCTAAGTTTACCTTTATTATCTGATTATGTCATTCCTATGTTTTTAAAAGAACCCAAGGCATAAAGCTAAAATTTCACCACAATTCTTTTCAATTTTCTCTATTGTTAAACTTTCTTGGAACTATTGTTGTATTGCCTAGTTACATTGAAATCTTTCGGCATTAGAACATGATATTTACTTCAACATCCAAAACAAAATTATTAATCAACACCAACCAGGAGCAAAAAATAAACAAATAGCCAATTAATTGCTAGCTATCCAATGTACAAAAGTAAACAAAAACCATATTAATACTTCCAAAAGAATAAAGTGGTGTTGAAATAAGGCAGAAAAGAGTGTAACCGCCAACCTCAGCAGTCAACTTTGCCTCCAGTCTCAAATTAGGGATTGGAGGCGGTGATGCATCGTCACTCCCCATCACATTATTCATCCCATTCTTCTTTGGTGTAGTTTTCATGGGCGATTTATCCTCTGCCTACTCGTTGAAAATCAGATAAAAAGTTTAAAACAATAACTATAAAAAAAACTCAACCTTTCTGTTTAATCGATTCAGAAAACAAAAATTAATTCATCTAAACCTTTTTAGAACCTCGATTCTGAGGAGTTACTTTTCCTTTCCGTTTTCTTCCCCTCTTCTTGCCTTGGCTACCGTAGAGCTCTTCATCTTCACAGTCGTTATTTTCATTCTTGCCTCCATTAGCTTTCTCGTCAATCTTCATTTCAATTTCTGAGCCTGCATTACCCTTCTCCTCGATCTTCGGTTCAATTTCCGGAGATTTGTTCGGAAACAAAGTTGACTGGACCAACCTCTGGCGGACTCTACTCCGTTCCCGCTGATCGGTGCCGTTGGCCATCAGTACTTCCGCCTCGTTCTTCTCAGCTGATTCGTCCATGTTTATTTTTTGTTAACATCCAAATTGTGGTTAAGCGTTTAGGGTTTGCTCATACAATCGCAGCCGAATTTATACAGTCTCTTTTTTTTAAATCAATATAAAGGTTAAATAAGGTCAAATCAAATTTAATCAAATAATTGTTATACGAAATTAATTGTTTTAAGGGTAAAGTATAGTAATGGTCACTGAACTTTTCTAAAGCTTTCATTTAGGTTCCCAACTTTTAAAACTTGCAATAATCCTCCAGCATTTAGTCCGTTTGCAAATGGTCCCCGACGTTACACTGTCGTTAGTACGTTTGCAATATGATCATTGAACTTTTCAGGCACTTGCATTTAAGTCCCCCAACTTTTAAAACTTGCAACACAATCCAGCGTAACTTTTCAGTCGGGGATGCATGAGAAATTATAATCTAACTTTGAATTATGTGGAGGTGTTGACTTGAATAAAGGTCCATTGAGAAAAGACCCGACCAAGGGACTATTGGGACCATCAATGATTCAAGGTGTAATGTTAGATACAAGTCATCTCATGTGAAGCATAGATGTTCGATGAAATGCTTGTGAGAAAAAAATGGGGTTAGAAATGCAGAGTTGACAAATACTACTAAGATGAACTAAGTATCATTGTTGAAAGTTACCAACAAAGCTGAAATTTATTTTGTATAAATGATATATAATAATTCATTCGTTTAATCCTTGTGGTTAAAGATTTTCCAACAGATGATCAAATAATATAATGAAATCTCAAACAGCGTATTCACTTCTCAGTATCTTTTGCAACTCGAAAGGCATCATGACAGGGTCAAGTAGTTGCTCCAAACATAATACCCTGTCATGATGTCTTTCGAGTTATGTGCATACAGAATTGTCTTCTAAAGCTATAATCCAATACAATTCAACTGTAAATTTTCCAAAACATGTAAACAAATCCAATTCATTCACGATATATCAGTCTCATAATCAACATGAACTTATTAAAAAGAATATGAGCTCACAGGATGCCGAAAACCACAGGTCGGATCAATATAATTCCCAGTAAACTAGTACTAACAGTCTCTCTGATTGACCTTGGCGATTTCACTATGTCGATACTCATAATCAATTCCCTGATTTAAAGAAAAACCAAACAAGAAGATCAAAACAAATTAGCCTAGGACCCTCTTTCACTTCTATTTTGATGAACTGGATATCTTTCATAAGGAGTACTAAAAGTTTTCATTAAGAAGAAAGAAAGAAAATTAGATGCTTTAGTTCAAAACTAACACTGAATATCCAGATCATTGACATGAAGTTCTAGAAACATAAAAATTTCATCAAAAAAACACACAATGCGAGCTGAAAATGGGAAAGTGCGAAAGAGGAAAAGCTTACTTTCGGATAACCCACTTTCGGATAACCCAAAAGAGAAAATAAATATCTTCTTGCAAGAGAGGGGAGAGGCTAAGAAATAAATGCAATCGGTGTTACGTTCCAACAATTCTTCCTCCATTTTTTCTTTGTAAATAAAAAGCTGAAAGACAGAGCACTACTTGGGTTTACAATTTTACATGGTAGAAAATTGAAGAACAAAAACCAAACGAGAGTGCATGTGAGCGAAAGAGACTGAGAGGTGAATACGCTGTTTGGGATTTCATTATATTTGATCATCTGTTGGAAAATCTTTAACCACGAGGATTAAACGAATAAATTATTATATGACATTTATACAAAATAATTCTACATTTGTTGGTGAATTTCAACAATGATACTTAGTTCATCTTAGTAGTATTTTTCAACTCTGCATTTCTAACCCCATTTTTTCTCCCCAAGCATTTCATCGAACATCTATGTTTTACCTGAGATGACCTGTATCTAACATTACACCTTGAATCGTTGATGGTCCCGATAGTCCCTTGATCGGGTATTCTCTCAATAGAACCCTTATTCAAGTCAACGCCTCCACATAATTCAAAGTTAGATTAGAATTTCTCATGTATCCCCGACTGAAAAGTTACGCTGAAAATGAGAAGAGAGAAACGAAAAAGCAAATTTGAGATTGAAAAGGAATTTAGGGTTTATAATGAAATTGAAGATAATGTTGTAAGTTTTAAAAGTTGGGGGACCTAAATACAAGAACCCAAAAAGTTCAGTGACCATATTGCAAATTTACTAATGGCAGTTTAACGTCGGGGACCATATTGCAAATAGACTAAATGTTAGAGGATTGTATTGCAAGTTTTAAAAGTTGAGGGACCTAAATGAAAACTTTAGAAAAGTTTAGTGACCATTACTATACTTTACTCTTGTTTTAATCATCTCTTTTAAAATTTTAAAGTTGTAACTTATTGAATAATAAAATTAACTTAAAATAACATTATTTAAAAATGTTTAAAATATAATTTATTTTTTAAAATAAAATATAATAATAAAAGAATTTTAAATCTCATTTAAAAATTATATAGAATATTAAGAAAATAATAATTAAATTGTTTTCTTTGTTTGCAAAATGAATGACTCTGGAATTTATGATGTATGAACAGGTGAAATTAATCGCATGCAAATAAGTTAGATTTTGTTTTTTGTTTTCCCTTCACTTTGACAATTAATGTATCACTTTAAATTTTAATCAATTCTAAAAAAAAGAACAATTTCTCTTTAAAAATACAATTAACTATTAAGAAGAAATCCTCATAAGATTAAATGCTTTAAATCTATTAATGATGTATTTATTTATGTCCTTTAAGTGATTTCTCGCGGGATTGGAATTGTTGTAAAGAGTTTTTAATTGTTGCATGAATTACATTTGTGCACTAAATGCTCACATGTAACAAAAATATCCAAATTATATATTAAATACTAAAAGTTTTAAAACAAGATTGAAAATTTTGATTGTTGGATACGTAGAGTATTCCAAAGCGAATCCAAAAATATTTTTCAAGGTGGACACACATATATATTAATAACGTAAATTTTGTATGGAGTGGACACACTTATTATGATCATGCTGAGAATGAGAGGATTTGAATATTTTGAAAGAAAGGTTTGAATTTTACTGTTGTTCAGATTGCTAGTCAAACTATTTTTATTCAAGGAAGATTAGGTAGTAAAGATATTGTTGTTACTGTTGTATATGTCAATAATAATGGGAATGTTAGAAAGGACCTTTGGTATCAGTTGCATGATATTACAGTTAATGTTGAAAGGTTTCCTCGGTTTATTGGTGGGGACTTCAATGTCACTGTTAGTGTTGAGGAGAGCTCTAACTTTGAGGTGGTTAGTTCTCATATTACTCCAGACATGAGAATTTTCAAAACTATTTGGGGAACCTGGATTTAGTGGATCATTCTTACTTTGACCCTTTTTATATTTAATCAAATAAGCATGATGTTAGTTTTCTTACTAGGAAACCTAATAGGGTTTTGGTGAATACTTGCTGGTGTGATTACTCTGTTGGCTATTATATGGAGTTTAAAGCTCCTGATGATTCTTGTAGACACTAGTTTTTTATCCATCCTTTATTATTATTAATACTATTATTATTATTATTATTAAATAATAAATAATTACAAATAAATATTACATGCCCAATTTACAAGGGACCGACCCAGTTACAAGACTCAGAGGCCCGTTTACAAACCCGACCCAAATACAATAGATTCATACCCGATCCGATCTAGACCCGGCCCAATAGACCCGATCCGGTCCAGACCCAACCCAACAAACCCGATCTAGATGCAGTTAGGGTTTTTAAACCCTATCTCCAGCCGCCAGCTCCTCACAATCGTCAGATTTGGAGAGATCCAATGGTCCATGTTGATTTAGAGGAAACCCTAGGGTTAGGATACCCTAGGGTTATGAAACCCTAGGGTTATCATCTCGTTGTCGCCGCCTCCAGATGACCCATTCCAGCCGCTGCCACGATGCCATCATCGCCGAAGACTTCAGAAGCACTACAACGCTAGGCCAGCCCTCCACATCGCTGCCCTATGGTGGTGAGTCACCACTGTAGCTTCGGTTACTCACCGAGGGCTACCCTTGTGACCAGTCCAAAGGGAGCATTGACGAGGCTTATAAAAGCCATCCACCAAACCTGTAAAAGAGAGACACAACAACAACAAGCAACACACATAACAACACTAAGCAACACACATAACAACACAACAACACAAAAACACAACAACAAGGAGATACAAACAGAACAAGGAAGAAATAGGAATAGACATCAACAAAAGAGTAAAACAGAGGTATAGATTCGAAGAAACAACACATAACAACACAACAACACAAAAACACAACAACAAGGAGATACAAACAGAACAAGGAAGAAATAGGAATAGACATCAACAAAAGAGTAAAACAGAGGTATAGATTCGAAGAAACAACCAACCATCAACAACGAAGAACAGAAGAAAAGAGAAATAAAAGGACTAACCAACGGTCCGAGTCGTCGGACCGTTGGTTTTCCGAATGTATTTTTATCGATCTAAGGTGTTCTAAGGGTTTTTTTGCTTAGGGGACAGTAGATTTGAGTTTAGGGAAAATCGATGAACGATTTTGGTTTTTTTAGGTCGACGACCAAAAGCTCCCATGAGCGGTGGCCACGATGGTCGGTATTCCCTCGGTGAGGAGTTGTAGAGAGAAAGCTGAGAGAATATTTCTCTCTTTCTTTAGAGAGAGAAGAAAATTTGAGAAATGAAGAGATTAAGACCATTTTCGGCCATTTAAGGGTATTTGTACCCAATCTGAAACGACGTCGTTTTAGGGGCAGGGCTGTGTGTTTTGGGTGAAGGGGTCAACCCCGTTCGCAATGCTTTAAATTTGTAATCTTTACGATTTAGTCACTACAAGTAATTTCCATATGTTTTAATTTGGTAATCTAATTTTATTTTTATTATAATATAGTCACTACCTATATACGTTTATATATTTAAGGTAAAATAACCTATTTAATCCCTATAATTTTAATAATTTTCATTTTGATCCCGAATTAATTAATTAAGGCTAAATTACACTATTAGTACTTAGATTTTTTTGATGATTCAAATTAGGGCCATTACTTTGAT